CCCCAAAACCCCAAAACCCCAAAACCCCAAAACCCCTACAACTTTTAATTTAGTGTTGTAAGGAATATGATAAATAAAGTCATATAAAAATTAATTGTATCAAGGTCAAATAAATGGAAGATCAGATGCCTATCTCTTAAACTTCAAGTCCAAAGGTTAGAGAGCCTTCGTAAATTTTATCAATAGTCATTTATATTAGCTTCAAATTGCAGCCTCACACATCGCCTACTTATGAAGGTATAGATGAAGAAAGCTACCGAATAGTCTTTGATTTATTTGACAGGGATAAGAGTGGATACATAGACAATACAGATCTACAGGAGATTGCTATTTCCCTTAACAGAGATCCCTTAGAAGGTAAATATTAAGCAAACTTGATCTACAGTAATTTACTATTGCTTTAGTGATTGAATTGGTTTAAAGTTTTGATCCAAATAATGATGGGAAGATTGCATTCGCTGAGTTTGTAGCTGTAATGTAAGCACTTGAAAGCAGAGTCAGCGATGAATTCTCATTGGATATGGGTGTAAGTTATCATGAGTTTTAATACTTTTTATAGTCAAATATTGAAGATTAAAAGAAGAAATTTGGAAATATGCTAAGCCTACTGCCTAAGAACGGAGGAGGATTTATGCCTGATTCCAAAGTACTTGACTTTCTCAGGTAATAATCATCTCTAAGATAAGAGTTATAAACATATTTTTGTTTTAGATTGCTGAATGATTATCAGAAAAAATGTGAAAAGGATTTGAAATACATTGACGCAAAAAGGGCCAGAGAGAAATTTCAGCTATTAGCCTAAAGATATCTTTTAAAAGCAATCAAAATTTGCCTTAAACATTCAAACCTTAACTTTGATAACAGAATTAGAACGCTAGCAGAGAAATATGTAGATTGCCTAAAAATTGGAATTAGAACAGATTGAGGCTAACTAATAGCAGCAGTTTTTAGAGTTTTCAAATGCGTGGGACAAGTATATGCAAGACTATGAGGCTGCTGCCTATAAATCACTGGAAAAACTTAAGGAAAAGCATGACGAAGAGATACTATAGGCTAGAGAGCAACTTAAGATATAATATCCAGTGATTTACACTTTGAGCAAAGAGTTGATGGACTTGAGAAATCTGGAAAAGAAAAACTTTGCTTTGAAAGAATACCAAAAAGCAGAAAACTACAAGAGATAGGCTGATAAGATGGAGAGAGATGAAAGATAAGTGCAAGAGTAATAGCAAGCTGAGAAGATTGAAAGGGAAATTGTTAAGTTAAAAGGCAAATAGCAGGCAGCTTTGAATTCATTACTTAAAAGAATATAGAGAGACAGAGATGAATAACTAAAACATAGAACTCTAGATTCTCAAAGATTAATTCAAAGAAATAGAAACATCCTTCAAGACATCATCATGAGACAGCAATTAGAGGCAAAGAAAACCCTAGATTTCTTAAAGTATTCACTTGGAAAGCGATCTCCCTAAAAGCCAAACTATAATCAATCAACTTAGCTTTCAGTTATGCAGATTGATAGTACATCTAATTACAAACTCCCATTGATTAAATCAGTGATGAATAGCAGCATGCCACCAATCAAGATCGGGGATGTTGGGAATATTTCACCCTTTATGACGAGCAATGACTATCAAGCAGATGACATTACCAAAAATAGAACTTTCTAAAAATCCACTAAAGGTTAAAGTGTGGGTAGAGGTGGAGATGTAACACCTGTAAATCTCAACAATAGTTTTAACTTGAACAAATCCTAGAATTACGGACATAATAGAAGTTTCTAAGTAACTGACAATGTGGCTCAGAACTTTAAAAAAGTCAAGAATCTTTAGAGCAACATGTAAAGATACGGCGCAGTCTAGGAAAGTTTGAAGGCTTCTTAAACTCAAATCAACAATAAGAGCATGAGATAATAGCAGTTGCCAAGCATCAATAGAACCTATATAAACTAGTAGAGTGAGGAGTACCCACTTCCTATTGATGACTAATAGTTAATCATTAATGTCAAAACTGCAAGTCTCCTTTAAAACTAGCAACAGTTCAAAAATTCCCCTTATTATGACAACTCAGTGGCAAGTCCTTCTAAAAATAGCTATTCAAACACAAACAGCAAGACTAAAATGAAATAAATAGATGTAACCTAAGACAGATCAAACAGATTTGAGGTGGTTTAGGAATGAGTTAGCCTATTTATTGAGTTATTAATTCTTATTTGTAAGATTAAATAGGTATCTCCTTAACAAACAAGCCTATTGAATTACATTATATATTTTTATGATAAATTTGATTATTATAGATTTTATTTAAAGTTGTAATAATTATAAAGTTTAAATAATGGAAGGAACAACTTTAACAGATGACTTCATCTACAACAATCTAGATAAAATATCCCATCTCAGATACGAAGTTATTACAGATAAAAGCTCATCATATCATGATTCATTGTTCAAAATTATCATCATTGGAGATACAGGTAATGTTCAAATTAAATTTATCTTACTCCAAGCACCAAATTAACAAATTTCAATAAGTTTTCAATGCTAATTTTTCTGATAGGGATTGGAAAGTCATGCATTTTGAAGCGTCTGGTTGAAAATGAATTCAAAGAGGATTATGATGTAACTGTAGGAGTAGAGTTCGGTTCCTTTCTCATAAAGATCGAAGATAAAATACTGAAGCTTCAAATATGGGACACTGCTGGCCAGGAAAGCTTCAGATCAATTACTAAAATATTCTACAGAGGAGCTCATGCTGCAATCATGGGCTTTTCAATTACTAGAAGAGACACATATGAAAATATGAACGATTGGTTGAAGGAGGCTAAGGCTTCTTGTTCTCCTGATGTCTTATTATTCTAAGTAGGCAATAAATCTGATCTTGAAAACTAAAGAGAAGTCTCTTTTGAGGAAGGCTTGAGATTTAAAAAATAAAACGATATTTTGTACTTTCAAGAAACGTCAGCCAAATCTGGCGAAAACATTGACAAGATGTTTATTGATGTTGCTAAATTTATCTATCTGAAGTATAAAGATCAGATGCATAAAATGATAGATGACGAGACATCATCATAAAATTCAAAAACCAATAGTGGAACGACTACCCCTGGTGGAAGCTACGGAAACTAAGTAAAAGTTCAGCATCTTAGAAATAAGCTAAGAGAGAGTCAAGGCAGAAGCAATGGCTCAGGAGGTAACGGTGGTTGTAGTTGTTGATAAGAATCTATTAACTAATTTCAAGTCTATTTATCCTATTCTAAATTTTTTCCTTACTTTACATTAATTCTGAACTAAGGGGTTTTGGGGTTTTGGGGTTTTGGGG